TAGATCAAACACTTCGCGACAGGTCAGATACCTTCAAATATATCTTCGAACTCCGTCATTCCTGTTTTCTAGTTTAACTGAGTCTGATATCTCTCGACTACGAAGGTGTTACGAACAAAAGTGTTGTCAAGTACCAAATACCCGAGATGTCTTTAAGTTGAAAGTCCTGCAAACGATTTGATGAGTAATTTATCAAAGGTTAGCCACGTTATTTAGATAGAATTCAAGCAACTCAAACCCATATTTCTACGCACTGATTTACGCAGGTTGTACCAAGTTTAACCAGCTGAAAAAAGTATTTATTAGCAAAGTGGGTTTAAATATTGATCCTAGAGGAAAAATTAGGAGTGGGGGTAATCTTGCACTCGATTTAAACAGCTAAAAATCACCAGGGTTTACGCCCAATTTAACAGGGTGTGTACATGACAATTTTTTGAACCTCCCACTTCCACATTAGCAACCGTCCATATATATATATATATATATATATATATATATATGGATGTTTGGGTGGGTGGGTGCCACAAAGTGCATTTATAATGTAACCCATTAACAGATATGTCAGCGAACGAAACAGTTGTTTCTGTTGTTGATAACAAACTAAAATTTAATTAAATACTTGAAACAATCATACTGGTTAGTTTTATTAGTTTTTAGGAAGGGAGTTTATAATGAAAGTGGTAATGGGGAATAATTTGTCTCAATCTAAACGGATACGGTGTGTGGACACTTTATAGACTTTAGAGAGATAGGAATTCTGCAAATGGTCGAAATCAACTGAGCGAACGAAGTATTTTCAGTCTTTAATGCATATATAGTTAGTGGGACGGTTTTTATACCTCGTCATGTTCAATTTCACATGTAAATCTGTCATGATTTATTCGGGCTACTGGATATTATAGGCCATGCTGTTAAGTGTTTCGCCATGCTACTGGTTATGCTAATGATTGCGAAACTGGAGATAACCACAGTATACTGTCGCTTTGAATGTGTTCAGGCGCTTATTCTTTAGTGATACTCAGTTCAGGAGAAATCAGAGGAATTTTCTAGAAGTAGGGACATAAATGAAGTAACGACTGAGAAGGGAACGATCACTTTTTTGCTTTGCTGTGTGCATGTGCATCTGAAGTTATAGGCGAAATTTCGCAAACTACAATAATGAACAGCGTATACTGTCAGACATTTGGTGTTGCCAATGCTTGTAGTGGTATCAGTTCCCGACCACAAGACCTTTGAAGCTGAAAATGAGATCGCTGAAAAAACCCACATTCAAAATTTAACACGAATAGAAGATCAGGGATGGTGAACGCGGAACTATTATTAGGTAAGGCATGGATTAGCCTTGTAGGGGTGGTCATTCTGTGTAACTCATACTTTTTCACATTAAATGTATTATTTCATCCCCAACCGAAGTGTATTCTTCTGATATGCTAAACATCATATTGCCGACTGTCGTTGTAGAACCAGTCAATACAGAAAATGATGTGACTCTCACGTAAGATCTCATAGACCAGGTGGTCACATGATGACTAAGCTGCACTATTTGTATTAGGTCTACTGTTATAGAAGCAAAGATAAATGCACTAATACCGAACTAGAACATAAATCTATATGCTTATGTGAGTGAAACTGGTGTCCGAAATAGCCAAAGAAGTATTTTGCTGCAGCGAGTAAAGAAAAGATGCATTATTGAGGAGAAATATATGGTTTTCTCTCCTTTTTTATTCTTTGGGTTGTGACGAATAAAAACGAGTTAATTTAGAATAAATCAGTGCTTCGTCCAGAATAATTGCATGTTAGTCAACATGTTTCTATACAATGCGCAATTCTACTTGATACATGTGTTTGTGTGCGTTTTGTTAACTTGTGTTTCTTAGTATCATGTGCCACTAGGGGTTGAGAGGGTGATTCGAACACATTAAGTTGGACCAAATCACTTGCCTAGCAATTATGGAGAGGGTGTAGTAGTATTGGTTCGTAAACACATTATCTTCAAGGCTGAGAGTGTAATTACCGAGAAGATTCACATTCTGCATGTAACACTTAGAGAAGGTGAACAATAATGAACGCGAGAGCAATCAGTCGAAATGACATGGGTCGGTCATCCATGAGAGGTCACCCTATAAAACCTCTTGTTTTTCATTTAAGATATATTGCTCTCTTCCCAGCTCAAATGTATTCTATAGAAATACTAGACGTCATTGTTTATCGTTACGATAGAATAAGTCAGTGTAGTCACATGACTTCCACGTAAGATCTTATAGATAAGGTGGTTACATAATGACAGACCTACAACTTCTTGATTACGTCTATTGCTATAGTAATACTAATATCGCGATACCAGGTTCATTCAATCCACCGGACAATGAAGCAGCACACACTGACCTTCCTAAAGATGTCACTCCACCAACGACAGAGGAAATCAAGATGACCATCAGACAAATCAAGAGCGGGAAAGCGGCAGGACCTGACAATATACAAACTGAAGCACTGAAGTCAGACACTGAGGTAACTGCGAACACACTTCACCTTCTATTCAGGAGGATTAGGGGGGAGGAACAAGTGCCAACAGACCAGAAGGAAGGACACCTCATCAACATACCAAAGAAAGAGGATCTGAACAAATGTGCGAACTACAGAGGCATCACAAATAAATAATATATTTGTAATATCCCAATGAGTAGAAAAATTAGATTTTCTGACGTTTCGTGACTCAGTATAAGGCACTTCTTCAGAGAATAAATAACCAAATTGTTATTGGTTACAAATACATTATTACAAATATATTATTTATTTATAACAATCTACCCAATGCTCAACTTATTCAAAGTTATCAAACCAAAACTTGGTAAGGATACCTACAGAGGCATCAGTTTGGTGTCAGTATTAGGAAGAGTTTTCAATAGAGTATTTCTGAACCGCACGAAAGACTCAGTAGGCGCCCAACTTCGAGATCAACAGGCTGGATTCTGGAAGGATCGGTCATGCACAGACCGAATTGCGACATTACGGATCATCGTAGAACAATCAGTTGAGTGGAACTGGTCACTATACATCAACGTCATTGACTATAAGAAGGCGTTTGACTGTGTGGATCGTAGCACATTATGGTAACTTCTCTGAAACTATGGAGTTCTTCGGAAGATTGTCAACATTATCGGGAACTCATACGACGGACTACAGTGCAGACTCGTGTATGGAGGACTGCTCACAGATGCATTTCCAGTAAGGATCTGAGTCAGACAAAGCTGTCTACTTTACCCCTTCCTCTTTCTTCTGGTGGTTGACTGGATTATGAAACCCTCGACATCTGAGGGGAAACATGGAACACAATGGACATCTCAGAATAAATTAGACGATTTGGACTTCGCAGATCACCTAACGCTCCTATTTCATGCATATGAACGAATACAGACGAAGACAGCAAATGGAGCAGCAGCCTCTTTGTCAATGGACCCCAACATACACAAAAGAAAAGAAAAGTTCTCAAATACAACATTGAGAACACCAACCCAATCACACTTGATGGAGAAACTCTGGAAGAGGCGGAATGTTTCACGTACCTGAGAGGCATCATTGATAAACAAGGAGAATCTGATGCAGATGTAAAGGTGAGGATTGGCAAAGCAAGGGCAGCATTTCTACAATTGAAGGACATATGGTACTCAAAACAACTGTCAACTAACTTCAAAGTCAGAATCTTCAATACGAACGTCAAGACAGTCCTACTGTACGGAGCTGAAACGTGGAGAGCTACTACAACCATCATCAGGAAGGTACAAGTATTTATAAACAGTTGTCTACGCAAAATACTCAACATCCATTGGCCGGATACTATCAGCAACAGTGTTTTATGGGAGAGGACAAACCAGCTTCCAGCTGGAGATGAAATTAGTAAAAGACGTTGGAAGTGGATGAGATATACATTAAGGAAATCACCAAACTGCACCACGAGGCAATCCCTAACTTGGAATCCAGAAGGGAAGCGGAAAAAGGAAGGCCAAAGAACACATTACGACGGGAGATTGAAGCAGATATGAAAAAGGATGAATTTTAAGTGGGAGCAACTGGACAGGATCGCCCAGGACATGCTTGGATGGAGACTGTTGTTGGGCGGCCAATGCTCCTTCATGAGGGGTAACAGGCATAAGTGAGTAATATACTTTGATGAAAAATTGTTGCAAAATATAAAGCGTAACCCATGATTTGTCGTCACTTTGGCTAATGACTTTTTTCAACATGTTTGACAGAACTCATGCAGGGCTGCAGGACTAGACAAATATAATATAAGATGGTGAAGAAGATTTGTAGCTCAGGTGGGTGATTTTGATGTTGGTAGAAGTTTGTGCTGATGATGTCGATCAGAAGGACGATGAAAGCTCCACGACCAAACCATCCAGCTCAGAGAACAAGCCAACATCAAAATATAATATAAGTTGCTACTTAGTGATCGATTACTATAAGGGTTAAACTTCCTTATAACCTCAAAAGCCTGACTTCATTCATTTGTTTTTTTATGTGAGTCCTTCCCAATTTTGGACTTCAGTGCGACTCAGCACGTAATAAATGTTAGAGAGACTGTGATGGGTTTTTTAAAAGTACCTCTACGAGTGACTGAATGTAAAAGGTAAAACTTTCAAAATCCATGTGGTTGAACACTTTTCAGTTCCTATAATATGGATCTACAAGGTAGATGCCAAAACATATTGCTTGATCATAAGAACCCCCAACAACAATTACTTCTACGGCCAAACGGTACTGCTAATAGACTGGCCTTCATCAATTATTTTACTGAAAACAACTGAAAAACTTAATTGCTTGGGTATTTCTTAAATACTACACTATCAACGAGGTGGTAAGTTAATGAAACTAAGACATGAGAGCTAATTTACAATGGGCAGTTCACAATATCGAAATTTTACTCAGTTCATATAAATAATAATTTTAAAGGAAATGTTCTGATATTAACTCATTTTATAGTTACCATGAGCTGTGCATGGTTTCAATTTGTTTGATTGCGCTGTTGGAGTGACGTATACTAAGCCAGCCAATCATATTTATCCACATAAACTACCATAGTAATTTAAGCGAACGTGAAGTGAGTTTCCGTAAATTGTGAAAACTCTACGTCTAAACATGTTCTCGTATTTACTGTTATTGTCCTACATTTTGTGTTTGACGTCATGTGAAGAGAAGAAAGAAGATTACGGAACTGTTATAGGAATCGACTTAGGCACTACATATTCTTGGTAAGCCCATGGTTCCCTACCTTTATTCGTTTCTTAGCGTTGGTGTATTTCAAGGAGGCCGAGTTGAAATTATTGCGAATGATCAGGGTAACAGGATTACTCCCTCATATGTGGCATTCACTCCGGAAGGCGAGCGACTGATTGGAGATGCTGCTAAAAACCAGCTGACATCGAATCCGGAAAACACAATTTTCGACGTCAAGAGACTTATTGGAAGAAAGTTCGATGAATCTACTGTACAGGGTGACATAACTCATTTCCCTTTTTCCGTCGTTAATAAAAAGAATAAGCCGTATGTCGAAGTTCACGTTGGATCAGAAGTCAAGACTTTTGCCCCGGAGGAGATCTCTGCTATGGTGTTAGGGAAAATGAAAGAGTTTGCTGAAGCTTATCTTGGCAAAAAGGTTACTCATGCAGTTGTTACTGTTCCAGCTTATTTTAACGACGCACAGCGCCAGGCAACCAAAGATGCTGGTACAATTGCTGGTTTGAATATACTCCGGATTATTAATGAACCAACTGCTGCTGCAATTGCTTACGGTCTAGATAAGAAAGATGGTGAGAAAAATATTCTTATATTTGATCTTGGAGGAGGTACTTTCGACGTTTCATTACTTACGATTGAGAACGGAGTGTTCGAAGTAGTTGCTACCAATGGTGACACACATCTTGGTGGAGAGGACTTTGACCAACGTGTTATTGATCATTTTGCAAAGCTAATACTGGAAAAGAAGGGCAAAGATATTAAGGCCAATAAACGTGCGGTACAAAAACTAAGACGGGAAGTTGAGAAAGCCAAAAGAATGCTCAGTAAACGACCATCTACTACGGTAGAAATTGAGTCCCTTATCGATGGTGAGGATTTTTCCGAAACACTTACACGAGCGACATTTGAGAAATTAAACATCGATTTATTCTTAAAAACTTTGGAACCAGTCAAAAAAGTCCTTGAAGATGCGGGCATGAAGAAAGAGGATATCGATGAAATTATTCTAGTTGGTGGTTCTACTCAAATCCCTAAGGTTCAAGAACTTCTACGAAGTTTTTTCGAAAAAGAACTTAACACAGGAGTTAATCCAGATGAAGCAGTTGCATACGGTGCAGCTGTTCAGGGTGGCGTTATTGGTGGTGTGGAGAACACTGGAGGCGTTGTGCTTTTAGATGTATGCCCATTGACTTTGGGTATTGAAACGGTTGGTGGTGTCATGACGAAACTTATTCCAAGAAATACAGTTATTCCAACGAAGAAGTCTCAGATATTTTCTACAGCTGCTGACAACCAGCCGACTGTCACAATACAGGTATTTGAGGGTGAACGAGCTATGACAAAGTTCAATCATTTCCTTGGCAAGTTTGACCTGACAGGTATTCCTCCGGCACTGCGTGGAGTCCCACAAATTGAGGTGACATTTGAGATTGACGTCAACGGCATACTTAGAGTTTCCGCAGAAGATAAAGGGACCGGTAGTAAAAACAAAATAGAAATCAATAAAGACCAACATCGCTTAGATGCAGAAGAAATCGAAAAAATGATTAATGATGCAGAACAGTTTGCAGCTTCAGATAAGAAGTTAAAGGAGCGTGTTGATGCCAGAAACGAATTCGAAAGTTCTGCTTATACTCTAAAATCTCAGATTGCAGACAAGGGTCAACTTGGGGAAAAACTTAGTGCTGACGACAAGAAGAAAATCGAGAAAGCTATTGAGGAAGCTATTTCATATTTAGACGGTAATCCACAAGCTGAGGTTGAAGAATTAAAACAGAAAAAGAAAGCTTTCGACGACATTGTCCAACCTATAATTTCCTCATTATATCAGCAATCAGGTGCTCCTCCCCCAGCCCAGCCTGAAACGGAAAGAGATGAACTGTAAATGTTTGGCTTTGTTGCATCCCCTGTATATTAATCCAATGTGTCTTCACCTTCATTTTCGTTTGTTTGACAAAAGATATATGCTTGTTTTTTCGAGTCTAGTTTTCTTTATAATAAAATGAAAGGTCACGCTTATCGTCATTTTGGTTTATTCGGGGGTTCATGCACTAAAACTTAATCCCTTGGTGTGGGTGTTTGTCGGATGCTTTGAAAATGACGTGTAGTTGTGTTATCGCTTCGTTCCCTCATGTCTTCCAACTCGCTGACAATAGACATATGAACAGTCTAACTGGGGATAAGTAGTAACTGAGATAACGCCACCGATCTGCCATTCGGGAGTAAGTTGAGCTTCTGAATTGTGGAAAGATTTTGACTGAAATTCATTTGTTGTCTCGCGTCGCCTAACTAAGGTAGCCAGCTGACCATCTAACGTGTACGGTTCGAGCAACGAGTCCTTAGCTCAAGCACTTCGTACTAAGGGTGGTACTAAGTAGGACCCAGATACTCAGCTGTGACTGTTTGGTTTGTATCACATGCGAGGAATAATTGTCCACTGATCTACAGCTCAGTCCCTTATTAAACCGACTTAGTTATTGGTCTGGATCGTTGATGCAGGCAAACTAGACCCGCATGTGTTAGTGTTCATACGTAAAGTATAGCTGGTCTCACGATGTACGTTAGGAGACACGTAGAGTGACGTAATACAAATAGGGAGCTAAAGTGCTAACCGATCTCGAACAATATTACTTGAGTCCCCTAACTTTATAGTAGTCTCACAGACCTCAGCCAGAATATCTTCACGTGTTTGCGAGGCTTAAGTTAGATTTTGTTGACTAGTAGCGTGTCGCGATTTATCGGACTTCGAGTTTTACTGGGTGTCGAGGTAGGTGTTAGCTTATTAGATCTAAGACACATCAATATCAACCCACTTGACACATTTTCCTAACTTCGACGTTACTGACTTGTTCGTTTTAGCAGATCCGAACAATCCAATGGGAACATTGTCGAAGTACTGGATTGGTCGTTTGTGTAAGGTTCCGAACAGAAATCGGGTGCTAATGTTAGTCTTAAACTGGGGCAGAAAGTATGTGGGTTTGTAGACTTGCGTTGAGTAAGGTGTCTTGCTCATGTACTGTGTAGCCTGACTGTCAACATATAACACCTTGTCTAGATTAGAATCAAGTAAAAAGTCTAGCAGTGATTAAACAGTGCGAAGCCACTAAAGACGATCTGAACCATGTAGACTGCACTAATAGATGAGCGTGGGAAGCAGTTACTGCGATTGCATATAAACTATCTCAAAAAGATCACTGACTTAAAGGGGTTGAATGGTACATATATTATGCATTTTACTATTCATTGTTTCTTTAACTTTCCTTTTAGAATATGTTTCTATCGAAGCTGACTTACTCCTCCTACAGTGCGATGTGTAATAGTCTACGTGAGGTTCTGCGCATTTAGGCCCGTTTAAAATTTTTTATAAGAATTACAGTGCTCTGAGACTTGTCTGAAGTAGGGGGACACATATGTAATAGTGTTGACCGATATTTCGGTAATGTGGCAAATTTGACTTAACGAACATGTGATCATCAGTAAACTTCAGGGCCTATGGGTCCTGTTATCAAACCTAAATAATGCGAGATATAGAGAATGATAATCAGCACTGAATTCCAAGGATTGTTACTCAAGTTTGTTAACAAACAAACAATTGAAGTCTTAATAGACGTACTTTGCTAATGCATAAAGTACTGTCTTAATAATTAGAATGTGGTTATTCAGGTTCTATCGTATCTTTCCAGTTTTCGCTCAAATTCAGTACATTGCAATCTCTTTAAGGCAAAGCAAAAACAGTGTTTTAATCCCAATGTTGCGGGCTTAACAAGTAGTTAGTACGGACTTAAGTCTTGATCGTAGTCTGTATAGTTATAAATAGATTCCTACAGACAACTTTGTTGAAGTCTATCGGTATTGCGTTGGAAATCTATTTTGTATAATTGCGAAATTATTCTAAGACCAAATGATAATTTTTGTCTACTAAGGTCATTTTTCTGATTTGGGATAGTATTATTTTTTTAAATGATGCTTTCGTATTAACAAAAATAATGATTATTTGTAATACTTCGATGAATAGGAAATTGGATTCTTGACGTTTCAAGACTTCGTGTAGGTCGCTTCTTCATACAATAAATAAATGAACTGAATCAACACGGGTTTGATTTGTCTTTTTCTTTTAGATGAAACTTCTGTACAAACAAAGTGTTTCCACAAGCTTACTAAGTTGTCTTCTAATATAGGTGAGTATCTTGGTGCTGACATTAAAGTTGACTTCAAACCTAGTCATAATAAACTTGTTGAAAAGACTACCTAGTTTTCTTTGCTTATCATACGGAATTCTTATGTAAATTGGCTAATCTGTCCTAAAATCTACTCTTTTCACAATGTCTCAAACATTTACCCTATCATCGAACCTATTACCTTGAATCCTCACTAGGGACTAGTTCATGCTTAAATCATTATATTCGAATGCGATGATCCTCATTTTAAGTTGTATTCAGTCTGCAACTCCACTGGTCACAGTTTTTCGTGAAAACTACAGTTCTTCAACGTCTAGTTAGCACACTTCATTGTTATCATCGTTTGGAATGAATAAAGATAGTATTTGTGATATAAACTTAACAACCTCTATTAATCTTTTAAGCTGAAATGGAAATTTCAAAAAGTTTGATATTATATTATTAAAAAATGATTATATATATATGATTTTAAACACCTCTTTGCCCTTAGATATTATAGTAATTATTGATGTCTGACATAGTTAATTATGGATTATAATATTTTTTCATGCAATGAATAATGTAAAATTAAATTCAATAGGTAACTCAGGGTTTTCAAATCGTTTATAAAACTCTGAATGAATACACGGTCTGTATTGTAGATTAACTCCCTAAGAAGTTATAGAAACAAACACTATAGTGAGCTTTGGTTATGTCTTCCAAAAGTAAAAATACTTGACTTGCATTGGGGCTTGTGTGATCGGACCGTTATTACGGGATCACTGGTATATTTTTTTATCCGACTACTAATTAGTTTACCCGATACCTGTTGAAACCGAGATCTATCTTATCAGTGACCACTAAACAATGACTGGGACCTTAACCACTGTTGATCCTGGATCTATTTCCGATCCAATGTCTAATTTGAAGATTGAAATATGAAGCAGATAAGGTATCTATTGTATAGCCTTTCAATTATATGACTCGGTCGATACAATAATACGGAGTAAATGGGGAGACAATAATTCATGGACGATCTTTAAGAAAAGCCAAAGTGACCTTGAGAATGTCTACCTACTTACTAGGGCTAAATGAGGGTTATAAAGCGGTTTCAAGAACAAGGAATATGATTTACAGTTGATGGTTAGGGTTAAGAATTAAATTTACGATTTTCATCACGAACTGACACCAGCGGAAATGCCAAGACGCTATTTAGCCAAATGTGTTGGTGAATTTCGCTCCAGAATCCAATACCTGTTATCCTAAACCTGATTGGTTCGTCCACAAATTATAGTCTCGCCGATTCAATTCCTGGCCACTCAGAAGAAGTGACTTATATTAAATCACGAAACGTCGGAAATACAAGATCTCTAATCATTGGGATATAACAAAAAGTATATTTATTATCCACATATTAACATGTTTAAGAAATTACAATGTACTTATAAGTATGATATAAGTGACAGAAAACTATTTAATAAGTCCGTAATTCAAGGAAGTAGAACATACATCAATATATTATACACGAAATGAAAGATTACAGCCAGAAAAATATAAGGACATAATAATCCAAGTATCTAACAGTTGTATAATAAAAATATAAACAATTATCCTTTCTAACATAATTTTAAAAGTTACTACTTTTACAATACTCACTTCGTTATAACATCTTTACAGATTGCAAATCAAAACTGAAATAATACTAGAGTGACAACGACATTTCCGCCAGTTTTAGAATGTGAAAACAAAAATGAAGAATGGTAATCAATTAGTAGTTTGTTGAAGATAACCTGGGAATTCATAATCAAATGTTTCAAGTGTTTGGAATTTCCACACCTATACTTAACACATTGTTTATTGATTGAACTTGAAGTCTGATTAGTTGTTAAATATGATAGTCAGGACATTGAATATAAAGTAGAGCTTGTCTTTCAACCATAACCTTTTAAAGTTTATACTGTAGTGGCTTTGCTTTGTTAATCAATTACCTTTGTAACGATTGTTATATAAATCCTACGGTGTTTGATATCAGGTTATAAGAAGCAACAATTACAGTTTATTAACGGAGAGCATAGACAACAAATTTATAAGCACAGAGGAGAATGTGTGTATGCGAGCGAATACCAATGTGTAGTTAAATAGAATAAGGCTCAGCTAAGCAAGGCAAAGGCTAATAATAAGACTCGTGTACATAATACACATGGGGAAGCGAATGAATCATCGAGTGATATTTAAGCGACCAACATTTCGGCTAGAGTCTGTCATGTGATCAAGCGTAAACCTTTATACAGATACGATAGTGATCATAATAGTACAAAGAAATATGTGAATTGTTAATGTCCGAATAACATTATCTGTTAAGTTAATGAAAGGGCTTAACCAAAATTAACCATAATCGAAATTGATTGTAGGAGTGCTGCTATAATACTTAATTAGGACCTTAGACACTTTCGTAACTATGACTAGAGGTATTTCACCAAACAGTTAGTTATTTTTGTATTCAAATTTGAGGTTAACACTTAATAAATGGAAAACCTGGAAGTACCGGACGGCCGTAGTTTGACCTCCACTGGTCTCGCGAGTGCGGGATCGTGGATGTCCACTGCTGAGGAGTCCCATAATAGGACGAAACGGCCGTCCAGTGCTTCCAGGTTTCCCATGGTGGTCTAGCTTCAATTGACTCACGCTTTCAACTATGAAAATACTAAATATCCACAAAACCCCTTCTGATACTTAATAAATGATTTAGGAAGTAGTGTAAACTTAATTATTTGCCACGTTCAATAAAATACCGATTCATGATAAGAAAACCATTTCTAAGAAAACCTTATGGGTGGAGTTATTTTTTCATCATTACATATAGGCTCCGTAGGGTCAAATGTTTACAAATTTATAAATACA